CCTCATGAGGAGATACTTATTGGCCGATTGCCATTGATTGAAACTAGACAAATGGTTGTAATACTGCTTAGCCCTGGGGTACAGAAATGAAATATTTGGGGAGTGAAAAGCGAAACCGTTCAGACGAAGTCCATTTTTACGGTCGTATGTATGGGTCCTAGATTGGTTGCTTTTGTTAGAATGTCAATATTGACCAACACAGAGATATTCGCAAAAAACACTGTCACATATTTATAACGCGTTTGGTTGATTACCACGGTATTCGGTCTGGTTCGCCAATAGAGAGGATTCGACAGTGAGACGCATCGTAGTCCTGCAATGTTTGTCCGGATACCGCGACAAAATTTGCCATGCTGGTGTGTTTTGCATGCACTTGTCCGTCCTCCAATACCGCATTCAGTCTGCCCCCTTTCCCATATTTGTGTTTGTCTATGTCGTTTGTCCGTTGATATGTGTTAAATGAGATTCACAAAATCGGCAAAACAAATTTGGTCAATGTGTTCCTCTTCACTTGGGCATCTTATGTACAAATCGCCGCAGCTGTCTTGTCTTTGAACGAGATGCAGCAAGTCATTCAGTGTCCACTGCATTTATCGCGTGAATTATTGCGCAAACCGATGAAACTTGTCAATAGAATTTCTCGATGAATGTCAACACACTCTGGGTCACTGGTTTGTCATTATCCACATTAATACTCCGTACAAACACTGCATGTACCTATGCGGATTCAACGATGAGCATTTCAGTGGGATTTTATCAATAGGCTTCAGTGTGCTATTAGTCAAACCAGAATGAAGTCCCTAAATTCACACACCACCATCTCCATGGCAAGCCATTGTCTTTGACGTTGCGTGAACGGACCCGATGAGAAGGCCTGAGAATTACTCCTGACAACTAATAAAACATTGGTAGAAGTGTTTTAGATTTCTTTTGGTGTTAATTTTCTGCCTTTAAAATAATCTAACAGGCTATTTTCTCCGTGATATTACGTTTTCATTGAGAAGATAATTGTGCTCTTGATATGCATCCAAAACAAAATACTCGTTTTTGGCGTAAATGACTTTTTTCAAATCAACTTTAAGCTGTTTCAAATCAAGATGTACTGCTAGTACCATTTCAAATTTTCCCAATATCCTCTGAAGTTGCCGCAGCATTGTTTCAAGTTGTCCCGTTGACCGCATTAAACTTGTCAATTCCATGTACTGTTCACGCTTTACAGTAATATTTGTAAAACCATCATTCGGCCAAGATTTTTGAAGCGCCTGAAGAAACGTTGTTGTGTCCTGCTTCAGACACACAAGGCACATTTTAAACATTTTCCCTACCCGCCGGGGTACGCATCTGTACGTGTGTCATTTCGTGTCATTTCTCGCTGACACCAATGAGTTATGGTCGATCGATACACGCGTCTTCATTGTTCAGATACCTATCCGGCTGGTGCTATTTGCAGACTGCATTCTACTTTTTTGTGTGTACTTAGAGAAGCAGCAATATAACTTCTACTATTCGACTACCAACCAATTGAAATGACCGTTTTTACCATATGTCCACAACGGAATAAGACATTTCTCTCTAAGCAAGTGCGCCTGAATAGCCTAAAGTGAGCTTGTGCAATCCACACCACGAGGATTCCGTAACTTTGAGTTTAAATCTATCTGGCTTAAATCATTTGATCCTATTAAACTGTTCACCGTGTTCCACGTTCGCATCAAGAGATAATCCAAGCTGACGGACGTTAGCTATTATGGACATGCTTCCACTCAACTGTTTTATCAATCAATCCCTTCAAATACCGGAACGTGCACCGAAATTCTGAGGATAGCCAAGTTTTTCGCTTTTCAGTTTCATGAACCAGAACCTGACAACTGTTATTGACCAGGTAGCTAGAATAGAAACCACGACCAATCAGAACAGGTGACAATGTTTCGTGAACGAAATATCATCTGGCATGTTGTTCACGAAATACATCTCCGTTGGATAAGCAGTGATAGTCGAATACTGTTGTACTAACAATATAGATTGTTGATCTTGTGGTGTTTTTATTATTTCTCGCCATTATTTGGGCAGTCACATCACACATCAGTTGCTCTGATGATTTGCTTTGTTTCAAATTTCGAAATATGCCCATACCCGCATTGAGAACACAATTTCCGACGAACAATTGTTTTCAATAACTCATAACCATGTCGTTACAGTTTATGTGAAAGACAAATCCCTGGGGGTTGGGAGGAGAACAATAAAATGTAAGAAATTGTTCACTTCGTGTATACGCATCTGTGTTTGTGTGTTCGTCAAAAACATCGCACAGTTATTAATCACTGCAAAATTTGTTTTGACTAAACGCATCACGTTTGAATTTTCGGTAATCATGCGAACAAATCAACCGTCTTAATCCGTTAAAATAAAAATCGGCAACTTCGTCTGTGAAAAATGCATTATGTTCAACAAACCGAGCTGGTTCAAAGCGAAGTGAATACAGTCCGGAAAGCGCCAGTGACTACAGAGAAGTTGAGTAATGCTGTGTAATATCTACACAACCGCCCAGATCAGTTCAGAGTAGAAAAATCCACTGTTTTTGCACATGTATGATGGGTAGCACGTTGACACAATCTTTCGTGGTAACACATACGGGAAATATGCTGCAAAGTGGCATCCGCGGTGCCACTGAACCTTTTCTCGTGGTCCACATTCAGTATTACGACAACCGTGGGTAGATTACTTTACTGACCCAGTACAGAGTTATCATCGCTTGTGGGTACATGGATAACTGTAACTCATTCATATCACCGCCTGTCTCATTCACTGAGCTGTAAACGATCGCCAGTAGCCAGTATGTGAAAAGATGCGACGGGTTGACCAATGATATAATAAAGATAAGAACCCAGGCGATGAAGTTAAGTAACGAAGGGAGAAGCCTCAGGTAACAGATTGTTGTCATTGGCATTGTGGATTGGATGTATTAATCAGCCAGGGAATGACAAAGTAAAATATGATTTCTGTTAGCTAGTGAATGTTTTCGAATTTAATATTGCTAGTCAGGTGAAATACTGTCACTTTTTTCATCATTATTACCATTGTTAAGTATCCTGTGAAGCGTGCATTTCAATGTCAGAAATACGTAAGCAATCATATTTGATTCAAATGAATTGGTTTTATTCGAGAGAATCTCAGTCTAAACGGAATTTACTCATTGGGTTATTGAGGGCTTAGACTGAAACCACTCATTCACATCTGGTGAGCGACTTATCGATCCATCTTGACGTGATTCGCTTCATTACCGGACCGACAGAGGTGAATTAACGCCGGGTTGGTTCATTCGTAGCTATGACGCACACTCGATCAACGATCAAGAACCCGGGTAGAACGGGTGTGTGGGAGGGGGGGGGGTGAGAACGGCGCACCTTACACCATCGGAACATTCATCTTTGCTCGGTAACTCACTGAAAAAGTACTTTTGTTTGTTTACGGGGAAGTGAGTTCATTCAGACTGCAGGGAGTTTAGACAGACCCTTACCAATCGGTGACAGTTGACGGCCAAAACACCAACCATCTTGTTGGGGTTTGCAATGGAGTGCGATTGGTTGGATTCACTTGAAGTTACAACGTATTCACTTTAAGTTACGATGGATTCACCTGAAGTTACGGTGGATTCATTTGAAGTTGAAAAGGTATAGGTGTGCTTTGTGTCGATCCGTGGCCGAAATTGATCTTGGTTTGTTCTTTTAGTTTGAAATGTTGTTCCTTTAGTAATATGCGCATCCAGTATATATATATATATATATATATATATATATATATATATATATCACGCATCAGCTTTGAATGTGCCGAAATGACTATTATTATTAAAAACTTATTTATTCTTCGATTTCTTTTCTCAACGCATACTTACTTCAGTGTTACCTTTGATGGGTGAGCAGCGAGTAGAGTTTGTCCTATTTATATGCGGAACAAGGAAACTGATTATCGTGAAAACCCAAAAAGTCAGCTTCCAGAAAATCGGTAATTGGATTAATGGCCATTGGATACTCAACATTAAGAGAGCTTGCAAACCCGTTATGAAAAACTCTAACTTGCAGTACAGTGAAACACGTGACAAACGGTTTTGTACAAGAGCATTCGTGCCCACATAAAATTCGTTCATTCATTAATCCTTTAAAAATGCGTTCCCGACCAGTTGTTCGTTTATTGTAAAAGCAGGGTAAAAAAATCGCC